GATGATGAAGGCAGACGCCGCATTGAAACAGGATGAGAGCAGAAGTAATCCTTTGCGAGTAGGACAGATCTCATTGGCTGATGGCGAGCCGCGTGGCGTGGAAACCGCTCTCGGCCATTGCTGCATTGTGAATTGACTTTCGCCTTATGATGTCGCATGTAGCCTATTTATGACGGACGACTCGCGCTCAAGGTCTGCAACGTTGTGAAGGTACATGGTTGCTAGGCGTCAACCGGAGGCAGATTGATGAAATGTCTGTCAATCGCTTTCAATTCGAGATACGTGGCTAAATATTGCGTACTGCGTCGGAAGATGATAAATATGTGACACACACACAGTCGAAGCACTTCACCCTAGAAATCACCATATCAGATCCCACACGCCGGACGACAGCCCCAGTACGGAAATTTCCAGTGACACGAACAGAACAGGACGAACAATTACGCGGGTCGCTGGGCTTGTATGGCTCGGCGCCGCACCACTACCCCCGCCGGTCGTACTCGGCCCCTGCGTCCCAGAAAATGCTGGAAACGAACTGGTGCTGGTAAGTGCACATCCCTGACCCCCCGCATTTGTCGTGGTGGTATTGAGAACCAGGAGCGCAAGGTGTGCCCCGACCTGTGGGCGCGCGCGGAATGCCTGTGCCACGCCCGAGATCGCGTCGTACCAGTCGCCTAATGGCTCGCTGTTGTTGCCAACGTTGTATGCGGCGTAGTTGTGCACGGATTCGATGAAGAGGTCGCGCGTCTGCGTGGAAGTGGCAAGAGCTGCCATCCAGATTTCCCAGTCTGGAGAAGACGCGATGAGCTGGGGTGAAATACGGAATCATAATTATACCTGATTCGGTGTATGTGTGCCTAGTGTCTAGGGGGACGCTGTACGTGCCTGTAGAGATATCCGTAAGTTGTAGTACAGCGGGCTCTTTCGATACTCACTGGCGACGGTACCGTACCAACAGTCCTCTGGACGGGACGCACATCAGTACGGGTTGGATACGCTCATTAAGGCCACGTACGCATCTGATATAACGACTTCGGAAACACCTGAGTGCCCAGGAGCACGTCGGCATACAGGTTGTACGCGAGGCCCCAGCTGGCAGACACAGAAGTCAGAATCAATGGTCATACATGCTTTCATACCATGAAAGAACGTACCTGCGTTCATCGCCGTACTGCAATACGAAAGGGTTAAGACATGGATACAAGTGAGCGAATGAACTGATTACATTCAACGTCAAGTGTCCCTCGGTGCTCGCCATAGCGAGCTTGCTAAACTGCTCAGCATACCCACTCGCAACAGACTAAATATCCATCATTAACAAACCTGGCTCCTAACCTGACCAAGCGTAAGGACCATGAACGTACGCTGTAATTCGCCGCCCGCCCCGCATCCCCCGTCATGTTCGCAATGACGCTCATCGCCTCGATGCCGACGATGCCCTTGATGGCGAGGTTGGTCTGGTTCGCCAGAGAGCTCGCGAAGGCGTCTGCAATGAGCTGGTTGGCCGGCATGAGAGAGTTGGTGACGAGGTACTGGGTCCACTGGTCGAGGAGGGTGTACTGTTGCAGTGTCAGCGGAGTGACGGGGCAGGGAAGAGGAGACGGACGTAAGGTGGTAATGAGGGAGTGGTCGCTCGTGGCGAGCGTGTAGGAGAGGGCCATGATGAGCATGTTGCCGCATTCTGGGATATAACCTCTGCGTGAGCTATCCTCCCGTTTCCGACGGACAAGACCCCGATTACCTTCCACTGGCATTGCCAGGTCCTTCCCTGCGCGCAGCGCAATCAGTCCCATCACCCAACCGGACCTCGCCAGCCCTCTCACCATCGTTATGCTCCAACGCCTTTGGATACGTCCCTAGCCCCAATTAGTATCCAAGTTTCCACTTCCACCTCCACTTAATGTAGGCAACACGCACCCAAACCATGCGCGCTCCACTGATTCGGATACATCCCGCTCGCCTGGTACGCGAGAAGCGGGCGCAGGAGATACTTCCCCAGCGCCGGATTGGCGTACAGCCAGAGTGGCCAGGAGGCGAGGATGACGTCGGTGGTGCTCGCGAGCTGTGTGTATTCAGTCCTCCCGGGAGCTTCGCCTCCATGGCCTCGAATCCGGGTGATTCCTCCTCGCGGCATCCCCAGGTATGCTTCCCGAGCACCTCCGACGCGATGAACCCCTCTCGACGAACTTCTTGCAGTCGCCTGCGACCTGCCGAGCCAAGCGCGTGATGCGCGGCATCGCATACCCCCTCACCGCATCCGGCACCCGCGCCTCGAGCCACTCCCCGAGATTACACAGCGCCGCGAGAAACCGCCGAAGGCGAGCGTGAAGCGCCCCGCGCCGCCCGTCGCGACCGTGACCGTTCGGCCGGTCGAGAGCGCGCTCACGACGTCGGCCAAGAGCCTCAGGACCTTGTCTCTCGCCGCGGTGGCGTACACGCCCGCGGGGCGGAGACGTACGAGGTGCGGGACGATGTGCAGGACCTGGAGGTCCTCCGAGAGGTGTGCCTGTTTCTCGTCTTGCCAAAGCGCTCTTTCAGTGCACCCCCAGGATCGTATATTACGGTAACATCGTACCGTTGGTAAGACCAGCAGCGTCCATATACAATCGAAGATAGAGTCGGATGGGTTGACTCTGAGTGCCTGCTGCAGTGTTTCGCTTCCCCTCATGAGTTCGAAACACCAAAACCTGGCGTACTTCACAATGGCATCTTGGCCCGAGTGTTTCGTTCAGTTTCCATAAGTAGAAGATGGCGGCGATCTGCGCATGATCAAGCTCTTCATAGCTGGAGCGGAGTCACTCACTTCTATGAGGTACTTGATGACCTCAAGCGGTTCAACGTCCAACTTGAAGGGAGGTATGTTCAGATCCGACTCAGAGCTCTCCGGGATCCAGCCATGTCCAATGCTGTTCCCCACGATCGGATTGACTGGCTGCCCACAGGGTATCGATTGCGCGCGCGCCGGGAAGAAAAACGGAAGTACACGCACGTTCTGGATGCGAGGTACGCGCCACGCCTGTACGCGACGCCGGATGAGTGCTTCGGCGGATCGTGTGCGCAACTGGGGTAGGGAATGATAGGGGACTTAGTCCGGCATAGATCAGTGAATGCCGACAGAGGCGTAACGGACGGACTGCTATAACTAGTCCCTTCAGCGTCTACAACGCGGGCAGGATTCCGTACATGTTGACGTACACGAGACAGCGAGAAACGCTGTTGGTAGGACGATCGAGACAGGATGAGAGTGCTCAGGCTAGCAGGGAGCAGTCAGCAGTGAACATCCTTTGTACTAGTACATGAGCAGGGGCGGATTGTGATTCGCTGATCGCGAGCCGAGTGGCGCGGCGACGGTTCTCGGTCTTTGCCACAGTCAACACCGGCGGTTCACTCTATCACGCAACCTCCACAGACGGCGATGGAGCGGAGCGCGCGACTGGCGAACAGCCTGCAACTCTTGCGGTGCTTCTGGCTTTCCAAGCTGCACCTCCCACGGGGCGTCGTTCCGAGCCTGGAGGACGAAGAGGGGAGCGAGAGGGATCCGCGCCTCACGCTGCGCAATGATGTGCCCACGCTGCTGTGTACCGGCGAGCAGGGCCGTTCGGTGGCGGTCTCGATGGAAAATACGGAGGAGGAGGGGCTGCGGTTAACGCTTGCTACCGCTGCCGACCCTCTGGATAGTGAACGTCGCGCTGCTGAAAGGAGGGCCACCTAAACCTTTGATGCAGACTTAACTCTTCATCTACCTAGAGGTGAACATGATTCGTGATGAACAGTACGTGGATCTTGATTACGTCCGGAGGTCTGGCCAGTGCCAATCTCCAAATGAGGTTCGTTCAGCGAAATATATGATATTGGTTATGTTATTGATACTTGGTCTCCGGCGGTAGTACTAATGTTCCTATAATTCATGAGCCCCTACACACGCAAACACAAAAATGCCTGAGCTTGCGTTGCGGGACTCTATTCCATTAGCTCCAATGCCAACGTCGGCGAGCCTTTGGGGAAGCTCGCCTCGTCATCCGATCGCATAGGCGGCAATTCCTGGGTGATCACCCTCTGGACTAGATATGAAAATAGCATTGCCTCCATTATGTCGATCACCTCATCCTCAATATGGGTATAGACTCCAGGAAGACGCCAGTTACGGTAGGGCTTGTAGTGGGACCCGTTGGTTGCCCATGCGGTTCGTTCCACCCGGTTGTAGCATTCGATCCAGAGCTTGCACGTGAGGCAGCTTCGCTTGTTGCACCCTATGGAGCCGGGTTTATTATCATGCCTTCGCTCGGCCAAGATCTGGCGCACTTCACAGTGACAAGTCGGACATATCATCTCATTCGGATTTAGTTTGGCCAGGATTGCATTCAACCGTGCGTGGTCAAGTTCCTCATATGTGAGAGAGGATTGCCTCACTTTCATGAGGTATTGGATGATTGCGCTGGCTTGCGTGCCCAGCTTGAAAGACGGTATGGGTGTGTCCAATCTGGGGTCATCAGGGATCCATCTGTAACGGATACTGTTCCCCTGATCAAATTGATTGGACGCCCACACAATGACCATCTCAAGACCGTGCCAGAATCTACCCAGCTTGCGCAGACGCGAAGATAACTTGATGATGGGCGGCAAGTCATCCTTCAGGATCGTTGCACCACCGAGGACGTGCGCAATCAAACACCTGCGCTGAACTTCCTCGTCATCGGGCAGGTTCGTCTCATTCCCTGTACCCCAGTTCTGAGACCACCTCAAAGTGTCATCCAGCATCCTAGAGAGCAGGTCTGAGGCGTGAAGATTGTCAACATTCTCATACACCAATCGAAGGTTCTTCCAATCACGGATGGGAGGGTCAGACCACTGAGATATGGGTTTGTCGCCACCTGCTTTCAGCTCCTCTATCACCCGCCTCAATTCCCGGGTCGTAACTGGTGAGCCGTGCAGGGATCTGCGGATCCTCTCCATTCTGGCCTTGATGGTCTCGGCACAGTGGCTGTGCGCAAATCCGCGCAGCTTTCCCAAGCTTTCGATTGTGTTCGCCTGTGTCGTGCCGCGTAGTAGGTCAAACAACTCCTTCGCCTGCTTCTTCTGTCCCGCAGAAGGTGGCTCATTGAAGGATATCTGGACCTCCGACAAAGTCATGTCTGTGAAGATCGTTGCTACCACCTCCCCTCGACGCCCAGTTGCCAGCAAGAGCGCAAGCTGGTCTAAGAGCTTCGCAATCATGTCTTCCTGCTTTGAGCGCATCTCCATGTTACTTCGTCCGATGGAATGTGGACTCTTGGCTGAGGCATTGCGATTCGATGTCGGGCGCCAATTATACCCCATGTATAATTCCATCACCTTTAGGTAAACAGACAGCTTCTCCTGCCTGCTGCGCTCTGTATGTGCCAGTGAGTGGAGTGGGTCACAGTGTATCCGATTGACGTACTGGAAAATGCCTCCATTCTTTACAGTGTGTGTATATTCGTCGTCCCACGTGAAGTACGAATGCCCTCGAAGTACTGTCATGATTTATATTTTCGAGTTCAGTCTTCTGTTCACTGCCTTATGCCCTTTCAGCGCACGTCTGGAGGACTTACAATAACTAGGTCGGCCTACTTTCAAGTGAAACTCAACGCTGCTGGCGATCGGCAGCCCCGGATGTTTGCCTCTATAATTGATGCAACTGAGTTCACTCGGAACAAATGACAGCCGTCCCTTGTCGCTTGACTTTCTAATGGCAAACATTGTAAAGATCAGACTGTTACAGTCTCCGGGCTCTCCGGTACAAGGATGCTCTTGTACCAAGAACCCGGCAAGGCGATTGCAGCGATTACTCATGAAACTCGAACACTAAAAAGAATGAGTCCCGTCGAGGCCGATGGTAGTTGTCTTGTGTTGCTTTGATCTTGGTCTCCCTTTCACTTCCGTTCGCCCAGTGACAGGGGAAGGTTGCATTGTCACATGACAACTGCCTGCCCCAGAACACCGTCATGCCAACTGAGAGATGGGATACTTAGTGTATATGGGAGGGACGACTAGCTTTACTGTACACATATTACATTTTATTCTCTCCATTAGACACTTTTCCTGTATGCTGTCCATCCAGCTCGTAAGTATCTTCGATATGATCCGAAGTGCGGCCGAGTCGGATGCTTCATGATCAACATTGTGAGTCGGATGACTCGGATCAGATTTATCACATCCTTGTAGCCACATGCTTGTAGTGCAACGATGACACAGACTTCTGCCGTGAAACGACTTGGGAATAAGACCTATGACTGTATTTAAGCCAGTGCATGAAAACATCCGGGACAACACGAATACTCAGCTTCTGTCTTGTCGATCATGGAGAGTCTTACGAACGGTACGATATTCCTATGTTCCGTGGATTTGGCCATATACTGAAAGGCCTGGTATGGGTAAGAAGAGAAACAGGGACGACTCACCGAAGAACTACAAATCCTGCACATTGTTCCACGACTTGTATCTGCCCGACCCACTGCGGTGTACACAGCAGAGGCCGCAAATGGGAAGCTTCAACTCCTTGATGACGTAGCCATGGCTCTTTCGACCGGGGAACGCGGCAAGATAGTGGCTGCAGTAATGGAGGAAAGGAGTCTCAGAGCCATCCACTTCATGCTGGCCACCAACGATGTGCCGGGGTCAGCTGACCGGAGTGCCGCTCAGCGGTTTTTTGAAGCATTGTGTCTCCCGGGAGAGAGATTCGAAGCACACATGATGGACACTATGAGAAGCTACGCGATGCTCCGGATTACGGGCTTGGCTGAGCAAGTGGCCAAATCCGCCAAAAAATTCGTCGGAGGCGGATTTACAGAGCTCCTAGAGAAATACAGCTGGGGGCGCCACGAGGACGAATTGCCAGGATTCGAAATCATGAGAAAGAAGCTGCAAGACCTTGAAGGAGCATCGGCTCTCGAATGTCTCATGATTGCGTTCCGTCACCTTCACAAATCTACTTCCGAATTCTGTGAATCAGCAGACAAACGAGATGGGAGCCCCCCCTCGCACAGTGCGGGACAGATCAACTCCATGATTATTTTTGCGCATTACCTCTCTCGTGCTCCTGTGTTCTCTGCCCTGATCGACCACCCAGCGTGTCAAGGGATCACGCTTTTTCTCGGGTCTTTCAGGTACAAACTGGCCATGCTCGGAAGATACTATGGTTGTCTCGAACGTCTGAAAGCATTGGTCAGATATTCGGAGAGGAAAATATCTTGGGAGTGGTGCTCCGACACCGATACGGGGATCGTTAACCATCATCCCGTCATCATGAAGCGATCCTACCTGGAAGTCATCCGGACTGATTTGCCAGCGTGGATGGGAAACCCTGAAACGTACTTCGGGACAGAATGCCCGAAGTATAGGGAGAAGATGGTCGTTTCGACCCACCCTGCCCTCCGGCTCATACTGTTGGCACCGAAGACGTATCTCAAGCTCATAGGCTGCAGCGATGGGGTATGCCTCTCGACCGAGGCATGGGTCAAAGAGTACAACGTGGCAGAGAAGACGGACTGGGACTTTGGACCATCTTTGGAGGAAGCGGACCCGACCTTTGCCCTGACTCACGCATACGCCTTCGAGGAGAAGGTCTACAGTAAGGTACAAAACCTGAGAGGCATCAGTATTTCCAATGTAATGTGGCCTAATGATAGGGACTACTAAATTGCAGTAGTACACGTATCATGCTCCTTGGGTACTGCTAGATCGATCCTGCCAATATTATGAGAATCGACCTATGACGTAGAGAAGAGTATTGTGCTAAACGACCCTGATGATGGACGCGTCACTAAAGGCGCTTCACAGCCCGAAGTATATGAAGAAATGTTGATTAATTTTATAAGAGCGGATCCACATAGGTTGAAGAATGAAGAGTTGTACCGTAAGTAATGGGCGTCTGTGCTTCTGGGCTGGGAGAAGCGGGTAGACTACTAGTGAGCATCTGCAACTGCACAACTTGCAAGGGAAAGAGAGATGCAGTCCATTTGATATATAGTGAGTTACAAAGTAAATTAGCGGGAGAGGAGTGCACCTGAAGGACAGCAGTTATGAACCGTGCCTGGGAATGAAACTAACAATTGGACAAAGATTAAGTTTCTTAACTTCTTCGTAGGCCCTCGAGGTCGATGCCTGGATGACTTCATGGGCGCGATAACCCTCATGCGGCAGTGAAGGAGCGCGACAACTTAGACCGGTAATCAAGATACTATAGCTCCCGGAGGTCTGTAATCTGAGGTTGGGCGCTAAAGCTTGCTTGACTTGATGGGAGCCGAACATTATGGTTACACTGGACAATAAAGTGATGAGCCTTAGGTGCTCACCCATGCCCGGCCATAGCACCCCCTAGCACCCCCTAGCACGCTCCTGCACCATTGAGCACGCAAGTATGACTCCACAACCCATGCTTACTCATGCTACCACGTGCGGCACTGAGCCCTGGCATGCCTGGGCCACAGTTCGCTACCCATGCTCGCCATGCACTACTGTCAGCCCATGCCACACAGTGCAGCACTCATGCCAGCACCCGCCGGCATTCTCCAGCATTTCACCGGGATCCTGCTCGATACTTCTCCGGCACGCGTGCGGATCCGTGCCGGCGGGTGCTCAGGCACTGCCACAATCATCCTTCCTCGACTAAACTAGATCTCACATTTAATCCACAGAATTAGCCACATTCTATCACCCCTTCCCTATCTGATATCAATTTAATTGCATTTCCTAGACACTTAGCAATAGTTCATAATTTGTCCTGTTACACCTGTGTCACGTATACACCCTTCTCAACATATTTCCTGTCTTTGCAACGTGCTCTACCGCTCTTAGTTTATTTCCGTTCCACACTATCAATGAAACCAATAAATGTTTAACCCTTTGCAACTGAGACATCATCCCTCCTCTCCAATTCCTATAACACTCCTCGGTGATGGATATTCTTCGCAACTTCTGCACTGCTTACTGCCTTCTATGTGATGATGTTTGTCTCACTGTTCTTACCCGAGTTGGAGATCTACCCCACCTGGACATGCAGCAGCAGGAGATCCTAACGTTCCTCGCTGCAGCACAGCAGGTCAGTTTCCAACTTCTCTCGTATTTGACTTTTGAACAATTGTTTCTCCAATCGCATTAATATTAAAGCACTCATATCACTTCCCCATGTCTGAGTTTGCCACCCTTTCCTCCAGTATTGTGGACATGCTGCAATGCCTTGACGAAGCGAGACACGCCTCTGCCAACCCTATCCCTCCCCCTCAACCATCTGTTACCTACCGTGATCAACATGGATCTCGCAAGTGCCCCAAGATCCACATCGAGCCTTCATTTCTCGCAAGTGCCCTTGAACTCCGAAGCCCCAGCAGCATTGCAGACGTCTTGCATGTTTCGTTCCACACCGTCAGACGTCGTGCCTTGGAATACGGCATTGTTGAGCCTGCCCCACCTGTCTCTTGCATTGAAGTCAATGAGGAAGGCAACACTCATCGCACATGGACCTCCCGCACTGCGGCTTTCTCTGTGATCTCTGATGAAGATTTGGATGCTCACCTCCTACATATCTTGCAGTCCTTTCCCAATTTTGGTCGTCGCATGATTGCCGGCCACCTGCAGTCCATGGGCCTTCACATCCAGTGTGAGAGGATTGTAGTACCATACCTCCGTGTCCATGGTGTCCCTCACCTCTTTGGTGACAGGCGCATTCTCCGGCGGAAGTACCATGTTGCAGGAGTCAATTGCCTCTGGCATGGTGATGGTCAGCATGGTCAGTTTTACTGCACAACACCCTAATTCAGATCCTCACCAACTCCCATTATCCAGCGCTCATACAGTGGAAGCTCATCACCCATGCGTTCATTGAGGGAATGGCCCGGCTTGTGGTAACCATAGGTGTACACAACAATAACCAGGCCAACACCATCCTAGCTTTATTCCTCACCAGCATTGAGAGGTATGGTCTTCCCAGCCGCCTTCATGGAGACCATGGCACTGAGAATGTTGCTGTCGCCCGCTACATAGAGCAAAGCCCTGGCGTAGGTTGAGGGTCTTACATCTGGGGCCAGTCATTCCCCTCACCCACTTCCACTGTCAATGTCTCTGACCTCTCACCTGTATATACAGCAGTGTTCACAATACCCGTATTGAACATCTGTGGTATGATGTCACATGGGGATACAATACAAAATGGAAGAATCTTTGCATTGATCTTGAACTCTACTATGGCTTGGACGCTGAAGACCCCGCCCACATCTGGCTGCTCCACCTCCTTTTCCTCCCTTCCATCAATGCAGACACCCAGGATTGGGCTGAGGCTTGGAACAACCACACGATGTCCCTCGATGGTCAATGTGATCGCAGCCCTCGTGATCTGTTTTTCTTCGGACTCCTCCAGTATAGTGCAAGGGGTCTTGAGTCTATGGTCCATACCATAGATGAGCCTCTCGCACCTGAGGATATCCTGGCCTACGGCATTGACTGGGAAGATATCAACAATTCATGCCTAATGGAACACCTGCTTGACTATATCTTCGCATCTTTGCCATATTGTAATACATGAACACCTTTTGACTGAGCCAAATGCCAACAAAGGGAGAGGGGTTTGTAGGCAGTGCCATCCAGCCCAGCTGTGTCTGCACTCAAATATGGGAAGCTGTGTCTGCCCTCCAAATTGGGAGATGTGGTGGCAGCCTGGCTGCTGGTTAGCCATAACCGGAGAGCCGAGTGGCTGCCATCATCACATTGTCACGTCACAGTACCATATCAGTGCATGAGTCAACAGCCCGGCTGGATTTTTCTAACCAGCAAACCTGTGCCACTTGATTTCATGTGGCATCCACCATAAGTATAAGCCGTGCACGTATGTTCTTTCAATTCAGCTATGATAATAACTAATGAGCTGATCCTTGTCACTTAGCTTGCTTGTGTTGGACTGAATCATTGCATCATATTGTGTATACACCCCTATCAACACACTGGCCATGGGTGGCCACTTTTAATGCTACAACCTCTGTCATTTGACTGAGTTATCGTGTGACATCGACAGTTTATATGGAGATGCCACTACCAATCAGTCTCATCCCGCCGCCCAATGATTGATCCACAACCTTGCACTGGCTCTGCCCAACCTGATAAGACTCTCCCCAGAGTCCCCTTCTTGGCTCTTGCACTGATGGTCCTTGACTCCAAGACGTATGAAGCACCAACGAAGGGGTGAGGCTCTGCTCAATATTATCCCGAGGGCTGGTACCTTTGCGAGGTCAGAGGCGAAACCGCATACGCTCAACAGGTGGTTACCGCTGTGCTGAAGGGGAAACACATCACATCTGATGTCAACAAGATACGTGAGATGGTTCACAAACGTCTGGGCAGTGAGCTTCTGGATCTTGGAAACTCTCGCATCAGTCTCTCTTGTCTGAAGAAGTTCAAATTTGTGGATATCAAGGTACAGCCGGGCTGCTTGGTGGCCACGTAGGTTGTCATGGTCTCCCCTCCTTGGCCTAGCCTAGCACCTACCTGACCACTGCACAAAAGAATATCAAGTCTCACCCGGCTGCACTGGTAAATTTGAGTGGCGAACGAGGGCTGGGTTGAACCTGGGGGAAATTGGACTAAAAGGCCCAAGTCCCAGAGAACAAGATGACCCGCCTTGCATGGGTCAAAGTGCCCCAGTGCGGTTGTTGAACTCCACCCAAACGGGCAGTTGAGGTGATCGTGATGACGGTATGTCCAAACTTGCTTGCCCATGTTGAAGCAGCAAGACACCCATGGACTGAACTCAAAAGGAGGTCTGAGACGAGGATCACGGTCCTTTAGTGTTATGATTTTCCCATGCTTATCTCATTCCATTTCCCTTCCGAGCATTGCTACTGGACAGTACCGTTCTCTGAGTAGAACTTCCCATGGACGCTATCTTCTTCCCACACGTTATCTCCCTTGACTCACCTTCTACCAATGGGTGCCCTTGTATTTCTCATTTCTCTGAGTTACGTTCTCACAGGATAGCTTACGCGTCCTTTCTTATTGTTCTCTTCTTTGGGTATCAACCCCTATACCAGTTACTATATATACTGTAGGAAAACCCATGTATTCCTTAGTTCAACCTCCTGTTGAATACAGCGATTACCTGGACTCTTGACTTGACCGTTGGC